CGCGCCGCCCGAGCAGCCCGCGCTTCCCCGCAACGTCCTCCAAGCCCACAGATGATTCCTCTTCTAGCACCCCTCGCAAGGGGACAAGGGAGCCGGAGTTTCCGTTTCCGATCTCATTATCCATTGCATTTTTTCCGGGGATTTGAGGGGGGGGGTAAGAGAGAGACGCACAGGAACGGGGTGGGGATCCACTCCCGGAGCAGCCGGCCTCTGCAGGACACGGGAGGCTTCGCTTTGGAACTCGGGAGTCGAACTCATTGTTGCTGGCGTCGTCCGTCTGGGCGGGGAGAGGGAGATTGTTTAAAAAGCCAGAAGCAGCTGAAAGGGGGGCGGGAGAGAAAAGTATCTCCCTGGTGGCGGGAAAAGGAAGAATCGTTGGAAGAGCGACAGGAGAGCGACTGCCCCGGAGCCCTCGCAGCGTATACGTTCGAGGTGTGCGTCGACTCTAGAGCAGACTCTAGAGTTAGGCAAGCAAGGGTTACATCCCTACCCGACGGAAGAACTGGGCTTGAAAATGGTCGTCCTGATAATAAATGCTTGCGGTAGTATCGACGTCGCGTGTGCTTTTTTCGTATCAGTTTTGCCTCTGACCCAAGCGTGGCTCTGTCAACTAAGGCAAGGCGCCAGGCGTCGAATGCAAATGAGCTGAAACGAAACAAACTTCGTGCTCATTTTAAAGCCTCGTGTTGTTTTTGCTGCTTCCACAGAATAAGGCACCTACCCTGCTGGCAATAATGTTTGCCAGCATTAGTGGAATTTGACAGCAGCCATATTCAGCATAATTTTAAACACATAAAGAGCATGCCTTTTAGTTGACTCTAAACAAAGCATAGGTGTCTGGTGACAGGTCATTAAGGTTTCCCTTGGAAACATATCAAAAGGTGTCATCAACAAAAGTTAAGTACAGAAGCTTGTAAGGGCTAAAAACACGACTGTGGTGGATGCAGAACCTTTCTTGTGTAGGTTACATATATTGTCCCTTGGCTTCTGTTCTTTTGCTTACTGCACTCTTGAGTATATCTACACTACACGGCCCAATATCTTATTGCTGGTTTGCACATTTATTAGGGAAGCTGCATACATCTTGGCACCAAATGGCTGTTAATTCCTTGGCATGAACCTCATTGCATGTTCAGGAATGCAACTAGAATGCAAATACAAATCAATAAAAGGATTCTAGCCAATGCCACAGTGTTTGTTACTACTTGAACTGTTAGAACCATAGGAGTTGCAGTTCTGTGAATTACTACAAATTCCCATCATCTGTTCAGGGGAATGCCTTAGAGAGCTTTTCTAATCTCTCATGAAGCTACAAATCCTGAAGGATGGTATCCTCATAATCGGAGTGGTACTGAAAAGCTACTGCTACATCAAGTAGATACTCTCTGTGTCTGCCCTGTGCCTTTCAGTACAATGTCCAGATCTGCTCAGATGGCAATCTCTGTTGTCTGATCTGCCACTGGGACAGATCTGATAGAAGCTCAAAACTTTATAATCCTTTGGCTGTCATATGTTGAGCAGCAGGGGGTTCCAGACATCCAGTCTGGCAGCTTGTTCTGGAAATGAAATGTAAATAAACAAACAAACAGTAATCCATTTCTATCAGAAGAATGCTATAGAAAGGCAACAATCTAGAAGTTTTGGGCTGCTATAAACCCGGCCAATATGGCCACTAGTCAGAACTGTGGCAGGAAATGTTCGGTGGAACACCACTCCCTGGCTCCTTTCTAACAACAGCCATAACTTTACAGCGCAGCATGTGTGAGAAATAGCTGCTTTCTGCAGTGTATGCATGTAGGGGATAATGTAAACTCATAGGGACATCTAGAGGAACTACTTAGAATTACGTAAGATTATTATTTAACTCATTATTTGATTCGACATTATTTATTATTAATATTACGTGACCCAGTGAATGAAACCATGAGCTTTATTTTGCAAGACTGGAGCAGGGCTGTTAATGACAGGCCCTTTTAGAGGCTATTAATTCACAGAGTCCAACATGACAGCATATAACAATAAATTACATTTAAGAAATTATTAAATCTGCAATTAGAAGATCCATAATAAAATTTTTGAAAACAAATCCCCTTACCCATTAAAAAAAGAGAGACACTTCATAGTTAGAGTAGAAAACTCTGTGGACTTAGTTGAAATTTGAATAACAGAACAGAATATCAAGAAAAAAACCCTCTAAACTTAGGGGAGCTTGTGAGGGTTCAGTATTTACCTCAAGCTTACCAGACACAAATACAGGAGTCTCTTGTTCTTGAAAAACAAAACTGGGGTTTATTGGAATGTCAAAGAAGTATCAACGTTCAACTTGTCATTTGTCTTTTCTCTCGCCGCCAACAGGTCCAACGAGGGCATCCATGTTTCCTGATAAAATGGGTTAAAACTAGGTGCGTACCAAGGTCCCTTGGGGAACGGGTTCACCCGGTACTTTCCCTTCAACGTCTACTTTAATCAAAGGTAATGCCTCTTCGTCTCCCCTCTCCAAGTCTGAAGGGTCGCTCCCCTCAGCATAGGGGTCCCAGGGTCCGGTAAAGACTTCTTCCGGCGAGCCTCCTCCAGTCGCCATGCCTTCCTTTCCCTTTCCTCTTGTTCCACTTTCTCGTTTTCCTCCCTCAAACGTCTTCTCCACTTCCTAGCCTCTTTCTCACCCCAGTATGACGGTCTGGGGGGGGGGGTAAACCTCTTCTTCTGTAATTTTACCCAGATCCACTCCCATCCCCCTGGTATCTTGTCTCTCTCCTGCTCCACCTCCCCTTGCCCCGCCTCTATCAACGGTCTCTCAGCTACTTCAGTTCCCACCTTTTCTAGCTGGGTCTGTGTAGCGACAGTCATTCTCATTATCCCATTCCAGGTCTCCTGTGCCTACCCCCTGGTGTCTGACCGTGACGCATGAAGTCCGAGATGCTGTCTGGGTCTCGCGTTCTCTTTTAACTGAGGATAACACTCTGGCGAGGACTTCTATTGTCTTGCCTCTGGTCTCACAGAGCTGTAATTCAACTGCAGTGCAATGTTTAGTTTCACACATTGATTTTGGTGGTGTCACAAATAACTGCAAGAGCATTATATCAATAGTATGCAAGAGAAAAGAGAAGAATATCTATTCACCTGTGCGTTATCTCCCCTTCCACCTAATCTTTTGTTGCATACAGTACTAGTTTTGAATGAGTGACATCCAGTAGACCCTTTTAATCTTCAGATCATGTTCTGATTCCAAAACTGGAATTCACTTATTGTGATGCAAGCATCACCTTGACAAGCTCCAGAGTTCCATAGCTAAACAGAATTGATTAGCGGCAAAATGAAGCTGAGGCCAAGCTGCTTTATGCATTTCTTGTGCTTAGATAAAATGTACTGCTTATTATCTGTCAGAAATGCTAGAGCACTGGCATATTACTTTAAACTACTTGATGTTCATAAGAGGAATGCTCTGAATGGTAGGTGTAATATAGTAGGTAAAGTAAAGACCCAAATATGTGAACAACATTCTCTATATAATGTCCCTCGGTGTTCACCCAGTTGAGACGATCAGACTGCAAACCTCTTAGAACTGTAGAACTGGAAGGAACCCTGTTGGAAATGTGTGCTAAAAGCTCTCAAAACTGCCCTGATCTCATATACCTAGAAAACATTATTAGAGTTGTTAGTTGGAGACAACTTGACAGCACACAACCATGACTTGTAAATTGAGACCTTTGTCATGACCATGTTCTGGAGAACTTGAAAGCTTGCTTTGTAACTTTTTAATGATCCAATACAGCTGTTGCCTAAACCAGAACTTACTTAGCTTGAATACTGGATTCTGTGCTCTTGGGAATGCAGGACTACATCTGAAACCAGGAGTAGTGGAGCATATGGGAGTGTATTTTGTGTATTTCGTAACTCTTTCCATGTGTTTTCTTAATTGTATCCTTGATATCTGCACATGGCTGAAATGCTTGAAAACTCACAAGGCCCTCATTAAGGCAAAGCGAAGCCCTGATTTCTTTCCATGTTATACTAAGGAAAAAATTTAAATTTAAATTAACAGTGAAGGAAAAGCAGATATTCACACTTGTGTCCAAGAGTACTGGTGTAATGATGTACTTTGCTTTTTGGCCTTTATATAGCAGTGTAACCTATGCTACCTTGATGGGGAGTACACTATTTTAACAATCATCATTGTTGATGAAGAACGACTGGACAACTCAGTGGTTTAGGTATCTATAGAGCTAGGGGTTGGAAATTCAACTCCCCACTGTGCCTCGTTGATAGAGGATGGACTTGATGATCCATAAAGTCCCTTTCAGTGCTGCAGTTCTATGATTATTCTTCTATGACTAACATGCCTATATGTTTAAAAAGTATCAGAAAAATGACATTCAGAAAAATAATTAGATCACTGTTTTAAGATATTTTGATGCTACCCTGTTTCCCCAAAAATAAGACCTAACCTGAAAAAAATAAGACCTAAAAACCTGAAAAAAATAAGACCTAACCTGAAAATAGGCCTCAAAAATAAGCCCGCTAAGTGAAACCCCGCCCTCCACCATTGTGCAGCAACCAGAAAAAGATGACATGACTGTACATTTGAATGAATGTAGATTGTTGTACATGAAAAAACATCCCCCGAAAATAAGCCCTAATGTGTTTTTTGGAGCAAAAATTAATATAAGACCCTGTCTTATTTTTGGGGAAACATGGTAATAAGAAATATCCAAGCTACCTGATAATGGGTATTTCTTTTTGCATGAATTAGAATATATTAGATATGTACAGTACTACCTGAATAGGGACGTGGTGGCGCTGTGGGCTAAACCGCAGAAGCCTGTGCTGCAGGGTCAGAAGACCAAGCAGTCGTAGGATCGAATCCATGTGATGGAGTGAGTGCCCGTCGCTTGTCCCAGCTCCCGCCAACCTAGCGGTTCGATAGCATGCAAATGCAAGTAGATCAATAGGGACCACCTCGGTGGGAAGGTAACAGCGTTCCGTGTCTAAGTCGCACTGGCCATGTGACCACGGAAGATTGTCTTCGGACAAAAATGCTGGCTCTATGGCTTGGAAACGGGGATGAGCACCGCCCCCTAGAGTTGAACACGACTGGACAAAAATTGTCAAGGGGAACCTTTACCTTTACCTTACCTGAATAGTTTTGCTCAGTGAATCCTATTAATGTTTTTTTTAATTATTGAATGGACTAGGCCTAACACCATATTGCTTTCTAGATCTGCAGTTTTATCATTTTCTTCGCTATGTAACTAATCTGACCAAGTCCCAGATCATGTTGGTGTTTGACTTGCTGGATTGGGAAGGAAAAGGGGAGATTGGATTTGATGAGTTCTATATGCTTGCCTGCATCATTATGGCTCACGAGGTAAGTAAATTCAGACTTTGGGAGGGGAGGCGGAAGAGAAATGTTATCATAGGCTCCATCCAACTTCACGGAGCTAGATTTCTACTTACGCAACAATGCTACATTTTGCTCTTTTCCCCAAGTGACTCATGCGTTTGGAGGCCACCAGGCTGCTATATACTGGTAGTGACTCATGTGTTTGGAGGCCACCAGGCTGCTATATACTGAGTATCCAGAGTGGAACATCTTTCAGAGGGCCTGGGTACTCAGAATGGAAGGTTCTCCCCCACCCCGTTCTCAGAGTACTGGATCTTTCCCAGTCTTGCCCACTCCTCCTCAATGTTGCAGAGTATCTAGGCACATAGATATGTTAATACAGTAGCTTCACAGAGCTGCATGAATGAAAAAGCCCTTTAGGTCAGTGGTCCCCAACCTTTTTGGGGCTGCCGACCGGCTGGGGGGAAGCAAGCTCCATGCATGGGGAGGCGCGGTGGCTCCTCTGTGCTCACACGGTGGCCGTGTTGCAAGCAGCCACAACACGCCCACCGCATGTGTGTGGGGGGGTGGAGGTGGAGATCCGCATGTGCCTGTGGGGTGGAGGTGGAGATCCGTATCCACAGCCCAGTTCTGGCAAGCCCACAGATCAGCACCAGGCCACAGACCGGGGGTTGACGACCCCTGCTTTAAGTCATTAAAAGTATACCTGATAAACAGAAAGGGGAAGAAAACGTCATCATTTGACGCAAGTGAGAAAAACCTGAAAGACAAAGCTCTGCTATTAACTTTTGCATTTTTGAAAGTTTGCCAATTTAACATTATGGACTGAAAAGTTTGAAGGCTAGAAAATTGGCACATCCACACCTAAATATGAAACGTGACTAATGCTATTGAAGAAAGCTGGGGAATTCAAATGATTATCTGGCAGTCTGAATCTTGGGAAACTTGGTCTAATACCACTGTGACTCTTTCCAAACTCCATAAACACTGTGTCAGTTTTGGTGGAAGTGACTCTCCAACAAATTTATCCTTTTCTGGGCAATAATTAGGAGAGAAACTGTAACTATTATGTTGTGAGGGTTTCTCATTATTCAAGCACTTTGTGCCAAATCAGACCAATTAGAATAGCTTAGCATTTGGTTTTATTTGAGCCCTCTAAAAGCAAGGTTTATTCCACCACTGACGTATTCTATTTGGAGTGTTCTTAATCACATTCAGAGTGCCAGAAAATTGACACATATCTGACTTCTTCTGTTTTCTTTAAATTGCAAGGTGATGGTACACTTGTTAGATTTTTTTTAAAAAAATCTGTATTGCTCTCCCAACTATAAAAGGAGACACAAATTGCTGGAATCCAAAAAATGAGAACAAAAGAGATACTTTCCTTTGTGCAGGAGTCTTAAAGCCATTACTATTAATGATGATTTTTGTAGCCTTTGGACAATCTCCCTTCAATTAAAACCTTCTGTTACCCTGGTCAGGGCAGGCTCAAGTGATGCTTACAACTGCTACAGGGCTCAGTCAGTAGAAAGTTCTGTTTCTGAGATGCCATGCTCATTGAAGAAGTTTATTTTTCTACCGCAGTTAAAGGGCCTGTAACAGGCAGCCCAGAAAAAGGGCCTGTAACAGGCAGCCCTGACCCCACCTGTCCATCACAGCTGGGCAGTGGATCATCAGCCAATGGGGTGATGGAGGGGGGGGCTGAAGAGGGAGGAGCTGGAAGAAAAGGGGGTGTGAAGAGAGGCTGAGAGCTCAGATCTGGAGTGTGTGAGAGAGAAAGAGCTTGTCTAGAGGCCGCGTGCCTAAGTGGTCAGTGAGGGAAGTCTGTCATGGATTAAATAAGATACAGTGATTGACATCTTGATTAGCTAATTGTGATTTACATATTTTATTTTGTTATTTCAATAAACCTGTTTTGTTTTGAAGGAAACCTTTGTCCTTCTTAAATAGTCATTACAATTGGTGGCAGTGAGTGTGAAGTAGTGTGGTGGGCATTCTGAGAGGCCTGAGTTGGCAGTGACATCAGAGTGGCCTGCTACGTTACAGGGCCCCACTAATAGTAATGTTGAATCAAGCAAAACAGAACAAGCATGTTGTTTTAAGGAACATTAGAAGTATCAACCCCATTGTCTAGTTCAGAGTGACATGTGGCTACTTAGAATTTCTTTATGCTCAGCAACAGTGGTTCCCAACCGTTGGTCCCAATATTTTTTGGATTGCAACTCCCAGAAATCCTGGCCAGCACAGCGAGTGGTGGAGAGTTCTGGGAGTATTAGTCCAAGGACACCCGGGGACCCATAGTTGACAATCATTACTCAAAAAGATAAATTGGTGCAGGCAGAAAAATCTCATGGATTTTACCTTCCTTTCCTTCTTGGCACAGAACCACCTTGAAAAGCAGTTCATGTATCGTCATTCTCACGCTGTTTTCGAGTTGCTGGATATCGATGGGGGTCATACTGTTGGTCCAATGGAGTTCCAAGCCACTCGTTTCCTTTTCAATATTAAGAAGAGCGAGCTGAGTCAGATATTCAAGGATTTCGATATTTCTGGTGATGAGGTAACAAAAGCGTGGTGGATCGAGGGCCCTCCTTCCCCACCATGTTGTCTAACTTAATCTTAATCTTAGAATTGCAGGTCTGGAAGGGACCAATATATATTTGGCTTTCATTAGTTTTTTAAAAAACCAACCTAAGATCACAATTGCTTTTCTTCATAGGTGACAAATGTCACGCACGCCTATCCTTCCTTTTGCATTACTCATCCACATTATAAAAAGATGCATAATCTTTTCTAAGAAGGATGAGAAACCCACAAGTTCTATTGCTGCTGCCTGTCCGTGATCAGATAGGATCAGATAGGCTACTCAGAGCCAGAGAAACTGTAATATGAAGTGAACTGTGGTTTGCAGACCAGGGGGTTGTTGTACCTACTTCCCCCCGAGCAGGCATGCAGAGAACCGAACTGTGTTTTGCATGTTTGAAAGCTGTTGCACCAGGACTAATTACTGAAATATGCACAGAATTGTGCTGTGCTTGGTATTCCAAGTGTGAAAATGTCAAATGGGAGAGGGGAGTTCCATCTGGCCTCGCTCATTTTGTCTGGCCTGCTCCACGGTTGAAATGTGATCTCTGAGGCCCTTCCCAAATAGGAATTCACTCCCCATGCCAAATAAGCTTTCTGACATGGCATTATAGCTCCGTTCATAATTACTCAGCATAAAACCTTGCAATGTTAATGTGAGCCCTAGGCAGTTTCCTGAGACCCCTTCATGGCCACCCTTTTGTCAGTGTGACGTGTGCCATGACGTCACCTGCCTGTCTTGGCTAAGGCTGGAGTTTCCTGGCCTATGGCAAGGCAGGAGATGGGTCTTATAGGGGTGGAGCTTGTGTATATAAGGGGGGTGTACAAGGAGGGAGAAAGTGGTTGTTGTTGGGGAATTAGAGAGTTGGAGAGTGAGAGGGTTAGATATAGGTTAGGTAACTGTGTGTTAAGTAACCAAGAACTGTGCAGGGTGAAGGTCTTAGAAATATGTAGTCTGACAAGTAATTCTTTTAATCAGTGATTTCCATTTTATTTTTCTGTATACAATAAAACATCATTTTTATTTTTAAATCCACAATAAGTCTGAAGTGTCAGGTTTATGTGTGGTTGGTGGCAGCGAAGTACTGTGTGTGTGTGTGTGAAGGATCGTGACCTGTCATCTCTTGTGGTGACGTAGGAGGAGGTGGCAGCCGCGACAGTCAGTTTTGCAGGTCCCTTTTGCCACAAGGTAAACAAACTACGCCAATCTACCTTGAATTTATTATGTACCTAAGATTCAGGTTTAAGTACAAAAGGTATTGTAGAAATTCCTCTTGTCCATTTTATAGAAGGTTACAGTGTCTGGAAATTCAAACCTGTCCTGCTACTTTTAGTGGGTTTTTTTTTTTTTTTGTATGGCTGGCTGTTGCTTCAATTTACAGACGGCAGAAGAATTTGAAAAGGGGGAGGCAAAGCAGTAGTGTGGTGCGTCCCAACTTTGGGTAACCCAGGTGTTCTTGGACTGCAACTCCCAGAAATCCCAGCCAACATAGCTGGTGGTGAATGCAAGAATTATAAAAAGCTATGGTGTGGCCTATCTTGATTTCAGTAAGTTTTTTTAAAAACAAGGTTTCTGATGATATACCTGTTTCCAAGCCGGCAAAATGTGAGCTAGATACGGCTATTGTTTGGTGGATTTGTAGTGGAAGGCCAAATAACGCTCAACAAATGGCTTGTTGTTCTGGAGAAAAGTGAAAAGCCACAGGGCTCTGTCCTAGATCAATTGTTGTTCAACATCTTTACTAATGATCTAGGTAAAGATTTGGGTGCTCTTGTCAACATGCTTGGAGGGGAGCTAATACTTCAGAAGACAGATTCAGGACTCAAAAGAACCTTAGAAGATTAAAGAACTGGGACAAAACAAATAAAATGAGTTTTGAAAGGAAAAAGAAAGTAAAGTTGCATGTTTAAGCAGGAAAAATCAGTGGTACAAATGTAAGACGGATGACAGTACCTGTGAAAAGAACCTACATATTTTAGTAGACCATGAGCTCAACAGGTTAACAGTGTCATGAAGCAGCAAAAACAAAACAAAACAAAAAACCCAAATGCAATACAAGGCTGCTTTGGTCATACCTCACCTACAGTATTGTGTCCAGTTCTGGGGACCATAGTTTAACAAGTTTATCAGCAAACTGGAATATGTGCCCTGGGGAGAATAGTCATCATGGTAAAAAGTGGAGAAACCAACTCCAGTGAGGAATGTTTAAGGTAGCTGAGTGTGTTCAGCCTGGAAAAGACAGTCAATATGATAGCCATGTTCAAATATCTAAAGGACACGGAAGATAGAGCAAGCTTGCTTTCTGTAGTTCCAGAGGACAAGTACCCAAAGGAATGGATTCTGATTGCAAGAAAGGAGATTTAGCCTAAAGAATAGGAAGATCTTCTTGACAGTGCAAGTTGTTTGACAATGAAATACACTGCCTCAGATGGTGACAAAATCTCCTTCATTGGAGATTTTAAAACAGAGGTTAGATGGCCTCTTGTGTTTTAACAACAGATTCTTCAGTGTGGCCTCTGTGAATACACACAAAAACCAGCGCCTGCACTGGACCTCTCAGAATTTTCTAGAGCTAAAGAGAAAAGTTTAAGTTGCCCCTAATAGCGCATGCTCCGCCCACCTCAGCCTTCAGTTCCATTTTACCGCCGTCTGGCTAGGAACATCCCGTCAGAGCTTTGACGATTCTCTTGATTGATTATTCAGTATTTTTTGACCACGGACTATCTTTGGACTTGATTTTTCACTGTTGCCCCAATTACGGACCACCTTTGACTACTCACTTGCCTTACGACTGAATTTATTGTTTCCTGACCATTTCTCGCTCGTTAGTGGGCCATGCGCCGCTTGTCAGTAAGACTTTTACTTACCTGCCTATGTCCCCATCCGGCCCCTTTAGTCGGTGCATTGTTTGCTCCCGCAAGCTCCCCTTCCATGACGGACATGATCGTTGTCTTTTTTGTCTTGGAGAGGCTCATCAGTCAAGCACCTGTAAACATTGCAAAAAGTTTACAAAAGCCGCTCTTAAGGCTCGCCAACAAAGACTGAAATACCACTTGTGGGACAAAACCTTATCTGCTTCTCAACCATCTGAAATGGAGATGGTTTCTCCCTCAGCCACTCCAAGATCTGAGGTTCGGACTGTCTCTCCTCCCATGTCTGCTACTTCCAAAGAAAAGCCAAAGTTGAAAGGCTCTTGAAGCGGGAAAACTACACACAACCTAAGAAAAAATATTCATCTAAGCCGAAGGAACCTATTAAGCAGCTTCCTCCTGTTTCGGCTTCTCTACCTTCTCCTATCTTGGAGGATTCTTCCTGTGACCAGAAATCTGTGTCTGAGGTGGCCGTTTCTTTGCACCCTGGACAAATGAAGCCTGTTCCTTCAACAGGTCTAGCTTCACCGACCCCGAGCCAACTTGTACAAGCTACCACAAGTCTGGCTTCTTGCCCACATAGCCCTGTATCTACTGGGCGGGCTTCTCCAGCTCCTTCTTTGGCGTCGAGTCCATCGAGACCGGATTCACCTCCTCGCAAAAAGACTAAGAAAACCAAACATCTATCTCCTGCTCGACATCAATCTTCACATCGTTTGTCTCAATGTCAACATAAGAAACGCTATGAGTATGAGGACTCTGACTCTATAGGAAGAACCATTATTGTCGACGTCGACAAGATTCCTCGACATTGGAGTCTTCCTCGACGTCGAGAGATCGACATAGGAGAAAGGAAAGGGCAAGACGTTCCTATACTTCGACCATCGGCTTCCACATCACCTCCACGGTGTCGACATCGAAAAACCTTCGATGTTGACAAAGGCGATAATTGACATCAACCCCAACCTACTATGGCTCAACAACAGTCTGGGCTACCCCAGTCGATGTCGACGGTTTCAAATGCCTTCCAGACAGCCAAAGTCTACACCTGCGGTCATGGACAAGCATCAGAGGAAGCATCACTCTCCATCTACATCGGAGGAGGAGGCAGATGTCTCTACTAATTCTTATCCTCAGGAAGATGACATCCGCCCTGAAGCTTCAGCCGATGAGTTGCCTGAGGGGGAAATAATGGGTTCTGATGCTGCTTACCCTCACCCCTCATCACCATCAGATGACTTCTCATGTTCAGATGTTGTCCAGACTAGCTAAGACTCTTAAACTGGACACACAGCAGTCTAAGCTCCCCACTGAAGACCTTATTTTCGGGGACATCAATCAGGCGTGCACCCCTCCTCTAAAATTGGCCTTCATACCTGTTCTGATGGATCTCATAAAGGAGGCATGGGAGCACCCTTCTGCATCTGCACCTATATCCAGACGCACTGAAAGTCTCTACCGTGTACATGGTGAGGACACCGTTCCTCCTCAAACATCCTGTGCCAAATTCTTTGATTGTGGAAACTACTTCATAACGCATAAGTGCTAAAGTTCATGTGACACCAATGAATAAGGAGGGTAGAAAACTAGAGGTGCTGGGAAGGAAGATGTATTCCCTCATTTCCTTCCTCCTCATAGTTACCAACTATCTCACTGCCCTGAGTGCCTACCAGAAACAACTGTGGTTGAGAGTTCTTCCTGGTCTCAAACTGATACCTGAAGAAGTAAGGCAGGGATACCTCAACAACTATGAGGAAGCCCAAACAGACTCTAAACACCAGAGATTGGCAACACGCCATGCTGCTGATGCCGCGGCCAAAGTGCTTATGTCTGCAGTGACCCTAGTGAAAACTAGAATAGAGAATCTTCCTTTTGATTCTACTGGACTGTTTAATGAGAAAACCGATAGCAACCTAGATGAACTTCACAAGATGAAGGAAACTGCGAAGTCATATTCACTACTACAACAACCGCGATTCCCAAAATATCAGTGGCGTAAACCATACGCACAGTACTCAGTCTTCACAGTGTTGACAATCTTCACAGCCCTTCCGCCCCGTCAAGGGCCAGGGTCCATCCAGATCTTCACAGGCACCATCTTCTTCA